TTAGAGGTAGAAAACATCAAGAGTTTTAATGTCAGTGGAATAACAATAAGGAGGATACACGTTTAGTGCCAGTAATTTATAATGAGGCCAACATTCAAACTATCTTTTATGTTTATTGCAGCCTAAAGGCCAGTTCATACGTCACTTTTACGTGCGCACTTTAGGGCTGCGGAGAGTCTTGCGTGCGGCAGCTCGTGCTCATACACGGATGCAGATGATTGCGATCGATGCAAGGATACGGCAGTGATATTCCTCCAGACCAGGAGAGGGCAGATGTATTGCAACAAACACAAACAGCGTAGGGAAACGGGTAAAGTTTTATCAACAGTTTTAAAGTCTTTAATCTAGGCTTGGGGCATACTACATTAATATGGCATACCGTTCATGTTCATGAGAATGACTCATATTTGTTTGAAACCTTCTTAACGTTACGTCATTCGTAGTTTGTACCTTAAGTTCCAAGGTGTTCTCTGAAATGTTCTTAGCTAAGGATACCTTCTGTAAGAGATACTTTCATAAGGCCTGTCTGATCCAGCCTTAGCTATAACATTTCGATGTCAGCTCATACCGCTAGTGGCTCCCAATGTTCCCACTGCACGTCCCAGAAATTAGCAAAATGCTGTTAAGCAATACGTAGGCCTACACTAATAATTCAGCAGTTGTCAATTGTTTTACTCCACAGCTGATTACCTATTTTAGATAATTAACTTGTAGGCCTTTAGCCTAATGTATATTGTCCGACTAATTTTAAGAATTAGAGAAAACTGATATGTTACGGTAATGAGTTTGTCAGAATAACCCACAAGAATCCATAGGCCTGTACTTTTAGGGCTTTGGCTTTCTTAATTTCCTATTTATTCAATTCCTATTTATGCAATTGATTTATGTAAATTCAGTAAACAAGGTAATGTTGTTAACCAACAAATAGTGTAAATTTTGATATCATTAGTAGCATGGACTGGAAGTTTGGAATACACCGCTGACAAAATAAAAATGCAATCAGTTGCGTAATTCAAATAGGCTTATATGTTACAGTGTAGCGTGCAGTGTAGCGTGCAGTGTAGCGTGCAGTGTAGCGTGCAGTGTAGCGTGCAGTGTAGCGTGCAGTGTATTACTGCGAACCAAATGCTGGTCACTGATATTAAAAACCCTCACATCTGTCCATTGAGAACAGAATGGTTACCAGTTAGGCGAGTAACCTGTTAAGGTAGTTCCATTGGGGACAATTGACCTACTGCATGCATGAAACAATGTGTACTAACATAAGGAACAAATTGTTTCTGTAGTGGTACAGAAAGATTAGCGTTTCATGATCCACCCGGAAACATGCGATGCAGTCAAGTGTCAGTAACTGAAATACCTCAAAACGAGGGCGTGTCCGTTTGTCCCCTTCCCACAGTGCAAGTACATGCACTTCGGTTTACAGGATTGTGGGGACACATTTAAACTTATTTTTTGCTCATTTAAATTGATGTGCTTCTTTTTAATGGGCGAGTCTTTTAGTCTAATTGATTCGTTTTGGGTGGTAACATTTACTTCTAGATTTATAATAAATGTTCAGCTTTCTGAATACTGCAATATCGCGTATGGCCATGTGGAGGCACTTGACTTAATGCAGCTCTCCAGAGTGCATAGTGAAAAATGCAATTAAAAGCTCTTAAGTCGGTGGCGGAATGCAGCACCGTGACGTGCGTAAGAGTCGTTTGCATGCAGCACGTTCATACTTTGTTCTTTTCCCATCCAAAATGTATATCTCGCAGTCAACGGTAGAATACACTTAAGTGAAAAATCGCCCAGCTACGAGTACGGGAGAATAAAAACATGCAATTCAAATTCCGTTCAAATGGTTTTAGGGCGTTTCTCAATTCAGTTTTGAATGGTGCACAACCCTGTTATGTACTCAAATTGTACACAAGCGTTAAAGCTACAGAGAGCCGCTTTTCTGCTAATTTATAGCATAGGCCTACATTATAATTTTATATTGCAACATTGACCTATTATTATTCTTCTTATTATTACGTTGTCCAAAAAAGACTGTCAGTGTGTTTTTTCTTACATACTTAGGCCGACCCGTGTGCTACAGAATAGCTAGCAAAAGTTTAAATAAAGAATGATGTAGAAAATAATGGCTCACTCGTCAATGTACGAACGACATTACGAACTATAGGGTTCTTTAGCTACGAAGGGTTTCAGGAAACACTCGCTAATTAAAAAACGATATTAAGTACTTGATAACGAAGTAGGCCTGTGCATCCCAGACTAGTCCTTTGGATTTATTTATTATGTTTGGGCTTGTTTAAGTTTCGCAAAAAAATCATACATCATACATTATTGAAATAACTGCCCCTGCAACAGTTGTGAAGTTGGATGGCTGGAATAATTTAAAAAAAAAAAACTCATGACTTCTGGACTTAAGCCAAAAATGTTTTTTACCGTGTCAACTTTTTTTTTTTTTAATCACATGCTTCACTGAGACGTTCTCCAAATTTAACAAGAAGATAAACGCACATTCAGCAAATACACATTAGGCGCGTTCGCTCGGTCTATATATGCGGGTCACAAATTCCAAACGCAAGGACGTGCTAGTATTGCTCAAAATCGTGAATTTTTGTGTTATTTCTATAATTCGTTCATTTATACAAGTTATGTACAACTATTTCATTAGTTTGTTTAAAACTCATTTAAAGGATTTTACTTAAGTAAAATGAGAATTATTTTGCTAATTGTTAAATTAGTGGCACGATTTAATGAATCTAGTGACACAGTCACCATATATTTGCAAACTGTATCAAATTTTACTGAGGAAGCTCGATATTGTATAAATGAAACACAGTCTATAATGCGACGCCCGCTGTGTTTTCTGTGTTAATGTTATTAAAGTCAGTCTTTAATCTCCGAACGACGTTGGCCCTACCAACGTATATCAAATACATATGCTGATAACCTTTTAATATACCATTATTTAAAGCGGGCATTTGAATGATAAATAGATTGGAAAAATGTTACAATACTGGTAACAAATTTTGTCAACCGCAATAAGATAAATAATCGAATATATAATAATTAATAGTGTTGTGGGCCTATTTCCTCGGATACAGTAGCAAAAACTACATGCGCTCCCCGCTGCCGATTCCGAGTTTCAACTGTTTCCATACTCGCCTGTGTTTTCTTGTTGCTACCACGTGTTGTTAACACATATAAAGTAAATTAACTACCTGTTCATGATAATCTCAAAATACGTGGATATACAGTTTAGTTGACAAAGTAGCACTGCCGTAGCACGATTTAAATACGGCCCTCTACATTCTGTATAGATATATGTAGGATTAATTGTAAAATTGCTAACAATGCAGTTGTAGTACTCGAATATGAGAAGTGTAGATCACTACCTATCCACCCACAGTGTAATATTCATATTTTGCTTCTGGAAGTATAAATGTACATACAAGTCATATTAATAATTTCAGTAAAATATTGAATTTTAATGTGCTTTGGGGGAATTTCTGGGTGGAGTACACAGAGAAGTTTAAGCTTGTTCTGTATTGGCGAGAACATCCATCCATTTTTTATAATGGTCTGACTCAGTCTGAGTCAGGTCTGGGGGGGGGCTTATCCCACGCAGCACAGGGCACAAGCGAGAACTTGGACGAAGTGGGACAACTTATGCAAAATGACACAGGCTGATGAATTACACAAGGTCACTGTTGCAGCCAAACAATGTATTGAGATTCTTAAAATTAAACTGTATATCTTCTGTACGAAATAGCAGATTAGTGACGTTTTTCTACTGAACAACAGCCACTCCAATAGCCATTGTCTCGTTCAAATTGAAAATAGTAACAAAAACCTTGTTATGTATTTCAAATGCAGTATTACGCATGTGTACTATTAACGAGTGGTTATGTGCAGTATTAATGTTGGCGAAGTTGGTGATCGATTATTCGAAATGGTGGAATAGTCCAGACTGATTTTCTTACTAGGCTACTTGATGCACATTTCCATGGTCACTGTGGCACATAAGTAATTAGTGAAAGTTTCAGATAAAACCAGAAGATGTTCCCAGCTGTTTCTCAAATGCTTTCAAAACAGTTAAATTCTAGTGGAATTAAGATAGTGTATGTATGTATATATATATATAGAAATGACGTGTACGCTGCTCTTTACGTACTGCAGTGCAATCAGAGTGTCAGACAAATGCTGTAAATTTATCGGTATCGAAATTATGACTTATCCATTAAGGTTTATGATCCTCACTTTCGGTTCGCTCAATGAGAAAAACCACCAACGCAAGAACTAACACCATAATGTCTATAGTAATAACGGTCCGTCAGCCAGGCAGCCTTCAAGCCCATAACAATGAACCTACCTGAAATTCGCATGCACGGCTACATCCGGAGATTGTGATCCACCTGCGAGATGTACTTTCTGAGCTCATAACAGCTGCCTCTAGTATAAGATAACTGCAGAAACTATTCTATTCAGTACATTAGAAATGCAATTACTGGCTCCCAAGTATCTATTGTAGCCAGAGGTGACCAGAGAGAACACTAGCTATAATATCCTGGGCTGTTGACACTAAAAAGACGGGAGGGGGGGGGGCGGCACGCTGTACGTGCTTATAATGCTCTCTCTGTGCCCTGTATGGCTGAGTGCAGAGGAGCGCTTGGTCAACACTTTTAAAAAGCAATTTCCCCACTATATATATATAACAGTCTATTCACACAGCAAGCAAAACTAGCAGTTTGGCTCAATAATTTCTTCGCAAAACTATTAAGCTTTGTTTTTACGAGTTAACGTGATAAACGACAGAGCTAGGCCCGATAAATATATACGGGGAGTTTTTAAAAAAAAAAAAAAAGCGAGGAGGTTCGGTCACATGACGATTAAGAACCAATCGTTTTGTGGTTTAAAGAACTGGAAAGGGCAGGTTGCAAAATGTAAGAGAAACGGCACACGTAGTCCACATTTTTGGAAAATAAAGAAACGAATGGATCAGAAAATCATGTTCATCAGATATTTTATTTTTAATGCACATTTTGTCAGTATGGCGATAGAGCATTTTGAAGTGACGTATTTAAAAATAATTCCAGGACAAAAAACAAAATCAGATTTAACATAGACATAAATGTTGTTTCTCTACCTTGAGCTCCATGTTACAGCCCTATAAATACTCTAAACTCTACATTTTCTAGACCTGCGCTTTTTCAGCTCAAATACTACATTTACGAATATGATGCAGGCCTACTTAGCTATTTTTGATTATTCAGTAGCGGTGAACTAAAAATATATTTCCTTTTTGTAATTAGTAACATTTATGTTTAGAAATAGGTGATATTTTAAAAACGGACAATGAACGTGTCAATTGGCATATCCAATTGCAGTTGTTAAAAACCATTGCCAATTTCCACGTAACTGTTTTTGTTCAGATTTTAGAGCACACCTGTGTAAGAAAAGGTTTTGCTGTTTTTCTTTAAATAATGAAGGTTTATTCTGAATGTTTTAGAATACTTTATACTTGGGTACGCTTTGTATTACATCTTCTTATATTTAACATTTGAATTTGGCTCACGAATATAATGTAAGTCTGCTGTATGCTGTATGAGAAGACGCATGCGCACCTTTTACCGTTTGTATCAATGTTGCTTTAACTAAAGAGAATGAATGGGGAGTGATGAGTTGGGTCTATCATTAAAAGTAGTAGTAGTGATAATAATAACATGATCTATTTGCATAATTAGTAATGCGCGTTTTATGACAGGTTACTCTGATACAACAGGCTGGTGTTAATGTTATGCAGTTTTGTAGGCCACCTTGTGAAGAAGCGATTATTATCCTATAGTCTTAAAATGACGCTACAGTTAGACTATTTGACTGTTCGGGAGAATAAAGCAGAGTACAGTCAGTATCTATATATCATCCTTTGTCGAATTACGTGGGGTGTAGTAAAAAAAAAATCTGAAATTGCGGTATAATTCGTTAACCTACATCATTTTGTTTCTCCAAAAACCTATTCACCCTAAAATGCTCCTTTTTTACGAATCATTGCTGCCATCTCTCGGTTATCTCTTGAAATACCAGAATGAAACGAGTTTGGTCATTGTTATAGTCGATGATTTTGACTAATGTGCCTTTTTGTATATGACTGTTAGTGTTAAAGTCTTGCAACGGATGCCGAGAAGCACGATATCGAGCTAGAATGCGTGATGCTGTTGGGTGCTTATTTACGCAGTGATTGACACACACGCGGACACGAAGAGCTCTTACAGAAGCAAGAAACGAGCAGGTTCGAAAAAGAAGTGACTCGATCTATTCTGAAATGTCCAAAGAATCACCCTTATTTAAAACTTTCCCAGAGCAGGTACAACAAAGAAGGAAAGGGGCCATGTACGGAGACTCTAATAAAATGGGGGTATTTCCGCTTGCCTTTTGTGTGAAGAGGTAGAACAACAAATGGATGCGCGTTTTGAAAGTAACCTATTCGAGGCTAAACAGTCATAAACCAATAAAAAGCGAAATTCCAGACAGAAAGGCAGACCGCACAATTTATTGCGCTATCGCAGGACATGCCTTTGAAGTTTGGTTCATCCGCAGAGGAGCGCTGGATTTAGAAAAATAAGTCCGATATGTGGTAAATTATTACTCAGCTTAATATAGACGTATGTGTACAGTAAAGTAATGTCAAAGCTGATTTTTAATTTCCTACTTTAAATACGTCTCGCTAAATAACCTTATTATTTCCCAATCTGATCAACCTGTTATGAAACGGATTACTCAGTCTCAAACTGTAAATTAAAATGTTTATATAATCGATATAAGTCAAACAGGATTTTGCGTTTTTTTTCCGGAACCTTTGAATCAACTGTCATGAGTCCAGCGTCTTTCTTGTGTTTTATTCTCTCACCCTCGAGCTTGTTGCACCCCATAAACAGTTACAGCCGCGATTGTCTTTTATTGCTGCAGATACAACTATAGCAACGTCCTCTGCCAAAATGCACGAGGAGCAACACAGGCCCGTTCACGCTCACTCAGGATGGAAAAATTCGCCACCTAATTGGCAGTTGCTTTTATTTTATTAATTTGTTAGTACTTTGTGTATTAGTTCCATTAGTACTCCATAAGCATTCCCTGATCCTTTAAATATCTCAGAAAAGTGCAGCAATGAATGTGCAGTCCTTTGGCTTTAACCCACAAGCGGAATAGGAAATAAAACACTTATTCTAGTAGAATAATATATTACTACATTAATATAATTACTGTCGTATATGTTTTGATTATTATATTGGAAGCCACTTTTCATTTTGTGCATATTAGGCTAAAAAAAAATCGAGACTATTTGAATAATATTTAGTATAATTGCAGGATAATCTGGCATTGCATTTGAAGGACACAGTTGCATTTTGGTTCATTATTTAATAATTATTCTTAAAATAAATAAACATTTCAGTTTCACAGGTTTCACAATAATAAATAACTACTCTCAGGTATTCAGATATAGTAATAACAATAATAAAATGCATACTACAATCGCTACTGTTGTTGACAATGCTATCGTTAGGCATACTACTACTTAAGATTATATTACCAGTATTACTAATACTGAATAATAATAATAATAATAATAATAATAATAATAATAATAGTGGCAATTTCACGTTGAAAAAACTATACATACCAAATACCCTATCACAAATCACAAAAATATATTTCGTAAGACATATACGCCCTACTTTAAAATTTGATATAGTCTAAGCCTATAGAAATAAGATGCGCAACTGATTATATTGCTGATACATATCGTACTCAGTTTTTAGCCCGCTGAACGACATATAAGAGGGTATATAACCGCTGCATCCTGTTCGGAAGGGTCTCCGTTTAATACGTAAGCATTCGTATCGACGCAATTGAAGCACATGCACCCGTTTCATTTGCAAATGGAAACAAATTTAAATATAGTAAATACACAAATAATGCATTCACCGCACGAAACAACTCATCACTAACAGAATAAAATTATTATCAGATTTTTACAGAATTCCTGAAAACGAAGCTTACAGTTTACGCCAAACACAAAGGTACGGTCTATATCAAACGATATAATACAAATAGATACGACAAATCAAATACAGATGAATTTGGCGAGTTCAATAATTTACCGCATGAAACCTGTATAAGCTGGGAAACAGATCTGTAAATTTTGCTTATGAAGCAAATACCACATAATAGCCAGTTCTTCATTTTCCATTGTATGCTCTTCACCATTTTGTAGCATCAATCGTCTTTTGGTTGGCATTTATTGATTTTCTTCATCTTCATCCTACGGTTTTGAAACCAGATCTTAACTTGTCTTTCAGTGAGATTTAAGCATCTTGCAACTTCGTATCTGCGATCTCGAGTAAGATACATGTTAAACAAAAACTCTTTCTCCAGCTCCAGAGTCTGGTGTTTTGAGTACGGGCAGCGCTTTTTTCTTGTGGACCTTGCGTGAAGCCAGTTGGACACAGGATTATCTGAAAAAGGGGGATCGAGAAATGAAACATCAAATCCAGTGCCTTCTAATGGTAAATTCTGATGCTAACATGAATAAAATACCGTACATTTTTATTTATAGCCAAACGATGGCCAATATGACGCAACGGCACCTTTCATAATATTGGCTGCGTATAACCTAAAAAGCCGGTATTGGTAACCGGTGTCACAAAGTCTGGTATCCCAGTGAAGGTTTGCATATCGCGGTCAACTAAAGTAAACACTTCTTCGACCGAATAAATGTAATAGTTACGTATTGTAGTTACGATATCAACATAAAACGCAACGATTTCTTTGGTTTAAGTTTACAAAGATTTCATTAAAGTGATGGTTTAGGCTACATTTCAGGTAACGCGCTGGACGGAAATATTTCAGATATATATATATGATATATATATATATATATATCATATATATATATAGTAAACTGTTTTAAAAACCAATGCACTTGCACGGTGTACTCACTGGAGTCGATGTCTACCTTCTCCTCGGTGGAACCGCTCTCTTCAGTTGGCTCGGAGGAATTGCTGTCGCTGGGGATTTTTTCTGTCACGACTCGGGAAAATCCCGTCGAAAAATCAGACAGAACCAGCGTATTCGATTCAAATGTAGTGCAATCTCTTCTGTCGGGCAAAGGTTCAGCTTTGACGTGATAATGCCCGTTTGTCTGTAGTCCAGTAAAAGGCAGCGATCCAGTAGACGGTTCCAACAGCCATGATCTCATGTATACTCCTTCAGAGCCGACTGTCTGGCCCTGTGGAATGGCGTACGGCTGGTATATAGAGGAAACGCTGCTTGGATGCTGCTCAGGCACTGGGGCCCAGGATGCGCCGAATGGAGATGTTTTCGCTGGGTACTGGCACGGATCGAGGTCGCTATGGTCATTCAGGACAGGCTGCCTCGCATGCTGGAGCCCTGAACTCGAATGGTATCTGGGCACTAAAAGGTCCTCTGACTCTGGAACCGTGTGATTGTCTCCAAAGTAACCTAATGCCCCTGACGCTGACATTTTAGAAACATGGACTTGCACAAAAACACAGAAAAATGCACTGTACTATCAACACAAAATAATCAGGATCTACTTGGCCTCAGTGAGACCTGCGGTTAGCCAGGAGTTGAACGTTATCTGCTTTGTGATTGGGCAGAGGAAGCACGTGACCCCAAGGCACAACAATAAGAATAAATCTGCTCCTTCATTTCAAGATGTTCTTTGTTTTGCTGTCATTTTTGCAAAATCGTATAATTTTATGGAAACAAAACATCTGAGAAAATAAATGTGTGTTAATAATGCCGAATCAGATGCACCTTTGCTGGATGGATTGATAAGTGCGTTGGAAATAGTCGGGAGAAACCTTCGTACGAGGATTGCCATCTTTCTCATACAAAAAAATGGCATCCACTTGATACTTAATCAAAATGCCTCTTTTAAGCCTAGCATGTTAAATTTACTGTAACAAAAAGTGATTCATTACTGTAGTTCTGTAAAAATTAACTGGGCCTATTCACATTTTCCTATAAAAACATTACTTGATTTACCAAATCCAAAATTACAATTATTATTATTGTTAATAGTAATATATGTGCGCTACTGGGTCTGTGTGCAAAGTCTTAATAAATATTTATTAATATATAGAATATTATATGCGTTCATGCGTCTATAAATTGTATAATAAATACTTTATGGACGTAGGAATGAACAGTATTTATCTTGTCCTGTATTGTATTAAAGATACTGTAATATGCAATAACTTCTCCGATTTTCTTCAATTCCTTCACTGTGTTTATCTTCAGTTTAATTAAGTTATAATTCGTAGCTTTAAAAACCATATAGGCCTTTTTATATATTAATCTGCAAATGGCTATACGCACGTTAGACATAATTAGAAGTACGGTTGCATATAAATTTATACTTAACACCGAATGGCATTTTAAATTCAGTAAAAATAAATGTGATACATTTAAGAATTTGGTTTTAGCCATTAGTAACCAAACCCACTTTGAAAAAGTACGGTCCGCCTAAGCATCATTTTATCGTCCATTCCGTCACTGTTTATTAGAACCGAGCGGCAAGTCTGCACATTTTATAGGACCACGATTAATTCCTGTTTACTGCTACAGGATTTTTTCCTTCCAGAAGGACAATCTAAAAAGCAGGACAGCGCGCACAGACACGGGCGAGTGGAGCAAAAAGTTCGTTAAAAACTGTGGCATATAGCCTACATATATAGCGCGTATACATACCACGTAACGCTGTTTATCACAAAGTAAAAGCGACGGCTATAGGCCCAATGCTAGTGGTGTTACATTATCCTCCGGCAGACAACAGACTGATCTAAATATCGGCAATAAAAGCATTCTTTTATGTTAACCTTAGTGGCCAGCAAATGCATCCGGACCTCTAAGCGCGAGCCACTGAGGTCGCTGTTACGCTCACGGCTCCGTCGAGACTGCAGTGATCGTAACCTAGGCCTTGCAAACCTCTTCTTTAAATCACGCAACAACCAAAGCAAGCTAATTCCAAGCCCACCCCCCATCGTTCCTTTTCAAGGACCATGCCCAGCTTATTTACAAATGTGGTACGACAACGTGAAGGCAGAATTAAAGTATATTTTGTAAATCTGCGTCGAAATCAGCTGCAAATGTCCACAGAATATTTAAAAATAATGGTACGGATCTAGGCTATTAAAAGCAAATGGGACAAGGTGGAATCACACTAACTTTTAAATTGTAGATAAATAATATATACCACGGTATACAGTCGATGGATCGTCATTCGTTTTTTAGACGATTGTGAGCTCAAGGTATCCAATAATAACTTCTATAGGCGTGGCATTGAACTGGGAGTAATTCAGACAGTTTCGTGTTGTGGCGGTAAGAACTGGAGCCAAACAACATGAAACTACCTAAATCACTCGACAGTACCCTTGATTCCAAAAGAAAAGAAATACCTCTCGTTGCAATAAAAAAGAACGTTCATTGGTGAAAATGAAAATACATGGATATCTTAAGAGTATTAAAATCGAATGTAAAAAAAAACTAGCCGTAGTCGATATTCACATTACAATTACTTAGCATAACACGAAACAATTTCCATATTACACGAAGGAGACATTGGCATATTTAAGATCAAATCTAAGAATTTCCGAGCTGAGTACTACTCAATCAGGTATTCATCTGCTTTGCTGCATAAATGAAAATCCTTGTTAGAGATGATTGACCTCCATCGCTCTTTGTAATACTGAAGTATTCCCACTTATTTAAAATATCAATGTTCAACAGACCAAACGAAAAAAACATACTCTTGTTTAAATAGAATATAAGCTACATAACATTGGGCCTATGAAGGATAAAATGGGGCAAATATACTATATGACTATAGGTCAATAGCAAGTTATAGTTATTTAAAAGCTTTACATAATGAACAATGATGAAATAGAAACATTAAATGTATGATCATCATTAAACTGAATTTTCTTTATTAAAGCAACATAAATTCATTAACGTTTCTAGAGAAACATCTGGATTTTATTTATTGTCACCACACCACAATAAAACATTTTCACAGTACATACTGGATATATATTCCGCCCTTTATATGCCACTTACAATGAAAATGGCTGGAAAGCAAACAATTTGCTTTGATGTCGAAAATATTTTTTTATCGCTTAGTAGCAATAGTGTATGTAAAATATCTATCAGTCTCACAAAATGGGATGATCAGGAAAATCTGCACAATTTGTTTCAAATAGGTATGTGTAATAAAAGTTGTCCACGACAATGCCATATCTCCGCAAATGTGCAGGTAAAGATATATATATGTTATATTCAATGTTTTTAAATGCTTTACAAACAAATTTCATAATGTTTGGGTGACTCATGCACGGTTAACATTGAAGGGGTTTTGTGGTCAAGTCCGCCCGAAATCCTAGACACACAAGTCATTTTTGACGACGGAATTTCTTCCTTCTTTCTAATAACTGAATGGGTCCACATTTTCACAGAAATTTGACATATTTTTCATCTATATATTCCAACTTAAAATACACGTTGTTTTTTTGTAAATCACCAACATGCAGGCACTCAGAAAAGTCATTAATCAAATACTTCCTGCACAATCATTGTGCAACCGAAGACAGTTGTAAAACCGGATTTAATACTTCGCGCTGACGACGAAAAAAAGGTCGTAGGTTCCTCACGGAAAATTAAAGTTGGTTGTAAGATCCCGAATCCTATTTTCCCGGCTCATTTTCTTCAGTTTCATTCTGCGGTTCTGGAACCAAATTTTAACTTGTCTGTCGGTCAAGTGGACGCTACGGCTGATCTCTAGGCGCCGCTCACGAGTCAGGTACATGTTGAACAGGAACTCTTTTTCGAGCTCCAGAGTCTGGTGTTTAGTGTAAGGACACCGTTTCTTCCGTCCACTCTTCGCTGTTAGCCAGTTAGCTGCATTTTCATCTTTCGTGTGTCCTAAAGAAATTTAAAACAATACATCAGATGCAGGAACTGTAATTTTGCGGGTCCCGCAGAGTCAATCACGGGCCTGTACTCAGCTTGAACTTGATATTAGTTAGATGGTTATCAAATTTTATTTTTCAGACGATGAGCAAAACAGTTACAATATGAATTCGGACTGTTTCTCATTTTCACGTCTACAAAATGTATTATATTTAAACGCTAGGTAATTAGAAATGTTAATCCGGCTGCCTCATTCTTCCCAGAAACAATGTTGCAAAACAAATTCGCATGATTATATGTATAGTAGCGCAGTTGAAAACTGATTTTGACCTTCATAATATTTCATTAAGTTGACTGTTACGAAACTATGACAGTCCACATAATAATTAATAAATTATCGTGATGTTTTTTTCCTCGGACCCTACAAGTAACATTATTTAGAAACAGCCAATTGCGAAAATAATTGATTTTTATAAAATTATTAGTTTGTGCCTTTTACCTCTACAATTAGGCCTGTAAATTTAAAATGATGATAAATAGTACAGTTGCCTTGTTTACCAAATATAAGATTTAGGCCTATCTAAACTCTGCAATTATAAGACAAATAAACGAACCGCATAGCGCTTCATGTTCAGCACGTTTAAGGATATTTATTTCAGATATTTTTAGAGGCAGATGTAATTTAAAACATCTAATAATCCTATTGTTTTAGAATAATGTATCCCTGTTAGTTGTAATAAAGTGTTAGTCCCGAGTGACTTTGTGGTTTAACAAAAGCCATAGTAATAGGAACAGCATGTATAGTTTCGCAATATGCAGATACTTATATACCGAGCATAGTTTATCGTTTCCAAATTTTAACTAATTTAAGCATTTTAAGTCCGATTATTCAACTTCCAAAATAAAGTGAAACTGCCCATCGAGACGCAAATAGTCTCTTGTTAGAACATTTAAAGTAGAGTTAAAGTAAACTAAAACTAAAATTGCAAGGGCTAAATTGTTTTTCTTGCAGCAATGAAAACTCACCGGGATCACACATATATTGCCTGTAACCATACCTGCTAAAACATGCAGTGACGAAGACGGATATGGGCACACCTTTATGGCCGTGTACTACTCACCATTTGTGATCCCCTTTGGACTTTCTTTGCAATTTTCTCGGGGTTCTGGAGAAGGTGACTCCTCAGTCGAGGAGGATACGCCCGTTTCCTCGTCTTTTTGCCTGCCTGGCAAACAGCTGGAGGAGCCATCCTTGTTATCCCTCCTGGCAGGCTCTACCGATGTAGAGGAGGAAGGCGGTGTGTCGAAGTGAACGGGAGGTTGTAGTGTAAAGTGTGACGAATTTGACTGAACATCGTGATAAACCTTAGAAGTTGCGTAAGTCTGAGATAGGCGGAAGTAACCAGGTATCGGGACCATGCCACTATCGCTACTCGGACACGAGCCCGATGATACACCGGAGTAGCAGAGGTCTTCTGTATGTGAAGGTGTTGCAGTCTTACCCGATTCATAGATGGAGTACGTGTTCTCTTCTTTAATGTTAGGCGAGAATGAGCATGAGGTGACCTGCTGAACGGACTGATCCATTCGGCACGACCGCGCCGTGTCCAGCCATACTTGCATTCCCGGCATATATGGGTTAGAAGCGGGAACCATGTTTTGACAAGCTGCTTCGTTTCGTTTGCTCAGTCCTGGGAAAAATCCACAGTTTGGTAGTCCATAAGGCAAATCCGAACCAGGAGGAAAGTACACGCCGCCGCCTTGGTAGTAATCTCCACCGCTTTCAGTTCGGGTGCTAATTAAGGAATCTACCAAAAATGAGTTCCCAGCTGGGCTGTCTGAGCATGACATTGTTGTGGTAAAATTTCACTAGGAGCAGATAACAGTTTGTGGCTGACATTTCTTGAGCAAAACATGCTGAATAAGATTACAGATAGCTCCCCTTCACTGTGCTCATTGATAGCCAATTGAAAGCCGAGAATGCTGGAGACCCCGCCCTTGAAAAAGCACGCAATGACGTGGACACATCAATCAGAGCTTTCAGTAAAAATGAAACAAAATCTTAAGTTTTATTTCCCATTGTTAGCGTTTGAAATAAAAGATATGGCAAAAGACACGTGGGTGTACATTTCACTTTACTGAAAACGGTGTCAAAACGTAAACATGACTCTGAGCATGGGTGGTGAGAGAAGGATTGAATCATTACTGATTTTAATTAGCACAATACAGTATGCAAACGCTTCATATATATCATCAATCTATATCAAAGTCCATATATTGCTAAACCTAAATATGCAAGAATATTTCAGATAAGTGCATATAGTGTGGTAGATTTCGAAACCACAAATCGTCTAACCGTTTACGGACAACTAAAAATCAACCCAGAACGCAACAAAGCCAGAATCTGTTATCTAAATGTAATAATAGTAATTTTAGTCTTAATATTACGCACTGATAACCGGCTTCCATTTTGACATAATAAATCAGTGATTTCCTGGCAAGTAAGCTAAAAAAAATAAAAGCTGTTTTTCTTAGTGTGTTCTTTGATATCATTCTGCGGCATACATATTTAAGTTTAACTTCCCCCGAGAACAGACGTATACGCTTGTCTCTTGGCCAAATCCGTGCCACATCCGCTACTTGCAGGTAGCCTTTCTCTATAGAACGTTCTATAATCTGAACTTTTGTTTTACATTTTTTTTCTATGTAATCCTATGTAGGAAAATGTACTTCATGGCTTTATGAAAGAAAAATAGCATGTACTTTACCCCTAATGCGACTTTAAAGTTAAAGAATCGTTGTTTTTATTACAGAGACAACATAAGTACCTATGGGTGCTTTGAAATTACACAGTAGCAGTAATTTTACTTATGGCTTTACTAAACTGGCTACTTTCTTGGCAATTTTTAACTCTCCTTTGACCTGTTATGCAACACGAACGAGTGACACCCTGCAGAGGACAATTTTTCGTTTGAAATAAGAGCTTTATATGATACGAACGGATCAGAATATATAAAAATAGATTTACATTTGTGGTTGCTAAATTTATATTTACGAGCATGAATTAATTACCTTCAACAGGCCCACGGTTCATGTTACTCACTGGCTATATAATATATCCACAATATTATTTTAACAGCGTTTTTATTGTCGCGTGTATGGCTATTGGCCTATATCCTGTTGTAGCAAAGCTTCCGTCATTTGCCCAGTATTTTTTGCGGTAGCATTCGTAGGCCTAGTATTTTGATGCCCTTACGTACAATAATGTGCCGTTTTATTACATCCAGCGGAAGCTTTTATTTTTCACTGGAGACAAAGCCTGTGGATATGGCTATTTAATCGTTTTGTTCGTTTTTATTTCCTCAATACTATCTTTTCATGCTTCTATAAAACGTATGATTTAAAACTGTTCTTTTATGAAACATGCCGGTTGTGACCGCTTGTAGGAAACAGAGGACTATTATAATTTTATACCAAAAGCAGGCAAGAACTGATTCACAGCGCAAGCACGAAGTGTCAGGAAACTAATGTTATTTTACGTTAAAATAATTTCACAGTTTAGTTATAATGTGTTTACATTTATACACGCATACAATTATAAATTGCTGAATTTCTGCCACGAATGGCGTGTGACTTTTGTATTTATTACACTTCATATACGTGAAAATAAATTACAAAAAAAACATCAGCGCTATGATTTAAATCCGGCAAACAACCTATGTAATATATAGCACTTTACCTGATCGTTATCTAAAAAATGCACGTATCCTGCACAATATATGATTTATAAACAATGTTTCATATTTGTAAAATACATATATAATTATGCTTCATAAAACCGAAAGCATCAGTTGGATTAACTTATCCAAATTCGTATTTATATAGAGTTAAACGCCCGGCAGATCTTTACCTGTCTTGCAATAGAGGGGCTGCAGAGTTGTTTTGATAGACTAAATTTTAAAAATCCTCCCGTCATCTTGACATCCTCGGCAATGACATTGATCTGAAGTGCGCCGCCCAGTGGAAAAACATCTGTAAACCAAGCCTGAGTATCGCCAGCAATGTGGGACTGCGAAAGAGCATTCACAAATGAGATTGGAAAGACAGTGGACAACCACTTTCAGTGGTTCCCGTCCTTCTTCTCAAGCCCTTAGTAACAGCTAATAACCTTGGTCTCAGACAGTTTATTGCCGCACTCCGGTTGTGCAAATGCTCCAGACTCAGACAACTTTTATGATATAGTTGTTACAGCAACAGAGAGGATGTGCAGTAATTAGGTCGGAATTCCAGAGATCCTCAAAGGATGCGAGCGGCAGGACCATCGCGTACACCGGCGACCATAAACTTCTGGCCTTCTTTGTTTACTGGTCTTTTTTACTGTGATACATGTCACTCGTTAAGTGTTGGCGGAACAACTAGGATACCCGGTTGAAAATGCTTCAAATAGACGAATAATGTGGAAACGTAAAGCCAAAAAAAAAATCTCACAAAAATAAAATCGAGTTACAGTTCAAAATTTCTACAAGATAAACACGAAAGACAGGTCTTGACTGAAAAAGTGACCTGAAATGTGCCGCATACTTTCAAATGCCATTCTTTCGCGTTTTCCAAACCTAGGGAACAATAAAGTTGCTTTTTATTCCCTGACCAAATGGTGACCTAAAACTAAACGGAAATAAACATTATAATTATATAACGACAATTTAATTTTAGCTCCCATGGTTAAAAGAAAAAAAATATTGTGACGTCTGTAGTCTTATTTTGTAATGATCCTGTTTTGTCTATGGTAACTATCTCCGCGTGAGCGTACCAAGTGTATATTACACCAAGGCAATATATTACAGCAGGACAAGGCATTGCATTACCTATATTTTTATACTGAAAAATCCAATTTGACCTAATCTCATTAACGGAACTTCAACCATTAAAGCCATTCAGCTCAAAATTAGAACGAGAAGATCCCAATGAAAATACTGTACAAAAACGTTTGCTTGAGATAGCTATACAATGTAGCCTATTAATGGTGATGCGGAAATGTCATAAATGAATTTTAATTATACACACTAGCATAAGTACATACACAATTACGCGGTAGTTTTACCAGGATACATCTGAACCTTTTTGACGTTTTATCTGCTTCGCTTGTACGTCGCTTCGGACAAAGGACTCTACTAAAAACACAGACGTAAAGCTTTTCTCCAAACAAAATTATGTTTAATGCTATAAAATCGCTTTATTTTAGCTTGAACATCGTATGACATTTTTGATGTCTAGGCTAGCGAAATGTCTATTTCCTGCTCTTGTTTACTGATTCATATATAAAAAAAAGAACATCGACGATGTGAAAAAGCTACCTTCCATTTAAATTTGTATTCTACTGAAAAAAAATTACTATTTAAACAGAACTATCATATAGCATTACCACCTGCCTTTTAGGCGTTACAAATCATATATTTTTGTCGCACCAAACTGTATACCCACAATGAATAAAACATACAAAACAGTAACACATGTCATATTTGGCTAAATGCGAAAATAAATAGACATGATAACGTCAATGTTCAGTGATTACAATAATTGGGGTTGGGCGACAATACTTAGACAGGTTTAAACTTGTGATTTAGACGCCACTACATGATTGGAATATATTATATACATTTGGATAAAAAAAAACAGTTATTTTCATCCAGGAAAATGTATAAAGTTCTTTTGGAAACATCCAGTTCATTGTCTGCGGGGAATGAATCTACATCCTAGAACTTGAAATTAACCGTCGTGCCTCTGTTTCAACACAGAGGGAAAAGCCGGGTCCACATGCATACTGCTAATGCAAAGGATTGACGGTGTAATATTGTAAACGATCCCTGTTCAGTTTCTTTTCTTTCATTCTCCTGTTTTGGAACCAAATTTTCACTTGGCGATCGGTGAGATTTAGCATTCTGGAGAGCTGCAGACGTTTTTCTTTGTTGATGTACACACTGAAGAAGAACTCTCTCTCCAGTTCTCTGATCTGGTATTTTGTGTAGGGACACCTCTTCTTACGTGTCTTCTGACCACCTAAAAGAAAGGAATATAATAATAATAATAATAATAATAATAATAATAATGATAATAATAATAATAATAATAATAATAAAAACATCATAAATCGGGTTTTAACATAACTACGTAAAATCTTTATTAGATTGTTTTTCTATTCAAACATTATTACTCTATTTAAACTTATTACTCGATACTATGTTTGTTTTATTCTAAAATAAGCCCACGTTTTGCCTATAATAATGTGAACTGTGTGATAATCATTTTGTAGATAATGAATATGAAGTGTGTATTTTGTTGTCTTACTTTAATACTCCATGCATATAGTGATGACGCAAAGTTAGCAATTAACGGTTCAAGATATCATACATGATATGAGAAACGATGTGCAATACATATAAAGCATATTTTCGTATTTTATTTTGGTTACATTTCTATGTTTTCTGTGTAGTCTAAATTAATAAGCTCAGTGAAATTATACTGGATATCAACACTATAAAAGCACCCCTCAGTAAATATATTACGTATTAAAATACAATAACAAGTTGCCATCCAGAAAATCTAAATATATCACAAATGATTTATGAAATAGATAGAAATAGAAATTGGAAAAAGGCCTGAGATTTCCATTGGCCAAATTCAATCGTAAGCACGTGATCTTGTAGTTTATAACAAAGTTTTGTTGAGCAAATCTAAAGGACCCCCATAAACCTTATGCGCTTATAAAACAGCATATAAACTGTTTAACAGCAGCGCGCTAGATTGCGATCTTTCATAACTGGGGCGCGTCTTAGTACGTACTGCTGTTAGATTTCTCTTCATTGTTGCCGGAAGAGGACTCTGGACTGCTGCTGTCTTCTCGCCGCTCTCTTCCCCTTGTTTCCCGGCACGTGTCGGAGCCGGACCCTGGGTTAGTCAGTTTCGTGGTATTTTTGTCCAGCGGGTTGTCGACCGTTCGGTTTTCTGCATTCCCATACGCCGTCTCGAAAAACTGATCAAAAGCTTGGGGCAGCACACCGTTCCTTCCCACGCTGCTATAGAAATTAGTCGTGGAGCTAGAGTTCGAATGGTAGACAACAGAATTGTTTTTCGCGATCATTTCCCCTAGAGATGTTGGACCAGACAGACAGTCTCTGTGAACCATCTCCTCTGTCGCATAGCAGTGCGACAAATTTCCTCGGTGGTGCCATTTACTGGATGTATCAATAGCATAGTCCCGAAAGGTAACCTCTCTCATGGACTGAACCTGCGGCAGGTTAGAAGAGTACGAGTACGTCATTGGTCGAGAAGACGGGGTCTGAGATAAAAACGATGGGAGACTCGAAAACTCTGTTCCCGGGACGTAGTACGTGCAACTGGGCAAATACATATTCGACCCAAGCGGTACACGCTCGTCAAAATCCATTATAGCTCTGTCGCTGGTTTTCCTTCATTAAGTCCTCGTGGCATGGTTCTCTTGCGCCGTTGCTACAGTCTCTTTGAAGCAGATCACTGGAGCAGAAATTTTGAGACGTAGGCTGACGTGGAGATCCATCTCCATCCTAGAGGGGCGCCAGTCATGTGACCGAGAGCAGAAAATGACATTATATTTTGCGCGGGTTGTGTCTAGATTCATGTTGATGCACTGATGCCCTGGGCTGTATATTTGTGCTTAAAATCTGCGTTGAAACGCAGTTTTGCTGTTTTGTCAATTCCTATTACTTCTCGGGAAAGCTCAGTGAAGCTGATATTTGAGAAGCGTATGAAATAATCGACCGACTTTCAGTCTAAACCTGTTAACATTTGTGGATATGATATAATTTACTTGATACAACAGCCAGATTGAATAGCGGCTAATTAGCTTATTCTATGCGGGTAATGCGCACGCCCATCAGTGCACATGGCGGCTGATGTTTTTAATACACATAAGTATTATTTTTTTTGCTTGTTTATTTGACAATTAATTAATCTGTTTAGCCCAATAAATTGCACAATTAAAAGCGATGGTTATCGCAAATTAGCACACTTTGAGTCTTAATCCATCTGTCAATCTGTCTCACTGAGGGCTAACTGTACCTACTAATCAACTGCACGCAGGAAAAAGAAGCCAATTCAAAACACTAAACAGAGGTCTTGTGTATGTCTTTGTGTTATATTTGACGTGTACATGATACATACTTGGCATTGGCTCCTTAGTCTGTATCCAGAAGTAAGAAAAGTGACTTATAAGTGTCCTGCAAACCATTTAACATAAGTTTTCATTTTTACAATACGACAACAGACAACAGCGGAGGACAAGTAGCCGTTACACACATTTCGTCTTTATCTAGACCCACCTGCATTGAATACACATGTATGCATGCATTTAGCTGCTCATTTGGAACGATAAACTTAGTATTTTATATTCTGTAACATCATGGAAGTATTTTAAATCAGTAATTCAGTACGCGTATGTACTGCATTCTCCAATAATAATGATTTTCCATGTGTAGCATGTTATCGTCTTAAAATTTAGGTTCATTAATGCCTGGGGAAGCAAATGTAAAGATATAGTTTCTATAATATAGATGTTTTCAAGTTGAAATTAAAGTGTCTTGGTAGAAATAACGCCCTTTCGTATTTCCTAACAATGGAGAAAAGCCACTCTAATTTTGGAAATGTCTTGGCCGTAAAAGAAAGCAATCCTTGTCAAATGGATTTGTGAAGGTTAAACTGAACAGTTTCCTATGATAGAAAAGGGTAATATAAAATGAGAATTAAAAAACCGTGTGAAGACGATGTAAAATACCAAAATCACGCGGTTCATGAATGAGCCAAAATTACTTGGCCTTTTTAAAATAATCCCGCTTAAAATTACATGCATACGGGATTTGGTAAAAAATTTTCATTAGTTTTTTACGAATATCATCAGAGATCCGCAGGCAGAATACGAATTTGACACATTATCTTCTCTCACATGCATGCGTACATCATCGTTCATTTTAAAAGCTAAAAAAATAAACTGCATTTCATATAGCTATTATGAGTATATACATTTTTAACAAACTACAATAAAGATAATCCAGTCTGACTTTACAATTAATATCATTTTTGGTCCTCTTATGAAAACCAAGAACTGCCACAAAATGTGGTCTTCCGAATATTCTAGATCTGTTTTCGATGTCTCGACAGGGTTCCATTTTCTTTCTCGTAAAAGAGAAAAAATACTTCGTTATGTATGAAATAGTATTATACATAATATAATAAAATACAGTACTATAGTCGTTCCGTACGAATTTAAATCACGTGATCGTTAAACGATTACAGAACACTGAAGTGTACTGTTGTATCGGGGTGTTCGAATACGTGCTTTAAGAACAGCGAATCCGAACTTTAGTCTTTTTTCTCCTTTCTAACTACCAGAGGCATACAGCAGTATACAATGAAATGCTGAAGCGAATGAGGAGGACACCCCCGGCATTTTCAGATGGGGAGCAATAGGTGGAGGCTAATTACAACATGTATGCAGACTGTTTTTTTATTTGTTATTTTCCCAAATATAATTTTAGCATAATTTAAAATAGCTAGAACGAATTATATGTAGCTGTTATATAATGACGAGCAAATATTGTATTTTGACGTATTTTTCAAATAAATATGAGTTCGGACGATATTTATTAAATACTGTCCACTTTTTGGTTCCCATACTGGTTGTATTTATTTTTAAAAGCCTAAACATTATGGCATCTGTACGTAAACAAGCATCCGGTGGCCTTATCAGTGTGTTAGACATCAAGGTCGCGCGAGGAGGAGAGTCAACTGGGTAAAATTGACTGTGGACAGCATTTAGTGCATCACATGTCCCGGATGAAGTTATCCAGTCATTTATTAAAATTGAATAATATTAGGGAATAATGCAGAGAAAATAGTCATCAATAAAACATGACAATTCTAATACAAAAATATAAAGTGTCTGTGTGTTTAATGTTAACCGACCAGTTTTCAAACCCTGCCACCCCAATGCATTGGAATAACTGCGGGAATTGGACGTCAGTACTGGATACAGTTGCAATGCAGAATAAGTATATTTTGCAATAGATTCTAATTTAGCCGGACAGTATCATAGGTGATATCAGGTATTATAATCATCTAATCAAAACGGACTGTTACGGAAAACCTCGAATGGTTTTTTAAAAAGCAGTGTACAGAAAGTCAATTAATGGAATACCATTCTCCCTCTAAAAAATTCAGAACGTCCTTGTTAGGTTTAATGTCAAGATTGCGATGTGATTTTGTGAATAATGGGTAACAGTTCAGGCAAACACTCAGGTGTGTTTCCATTGATACCTTGCAATTTTTGTTTTATTAATATACATGTTTTTGAAAGGTGAAAACGAGGAAGGCTGAAATGGCAGCTGAGATCGAGCAAATCAGTTTCAAAGTCAGTTTTGAAGGATGTACAGACACCGCACAGACTTGGAAGAGAAATGTAAACTTTGAAGGGTCGGCTGTGATCGATCACCTTACTAAGTGCGACGGTAGGCGCGAACTGGAGGTCAGACTTATGGCTAGACTTATAAGACCTGAAGGCCACGTTCTGATGTTAGTAGCAGCTGAAATTTTCTTTCGTGTAGTTATTTATACAAATCTATGCGAGACGGGTCACCAAATAAAAATGTTCTGTATTGAAATATTGAAAGGGTATTTTCCATTAGGTGAGCAAGCTTAAAGCAAAGACTTTCACGCCGACGTTTAACCTTGTTAATTGGAATGAAACATTGAATGTTTTGTAAAGGCTTCAAAGAAATGTTTTCATAAACAATTGAAGCTTTGTTACATTTTTATAGTACGTTGGTACTATTACTACTGCAACTGAAACTACTACTGCTGTTACTACTACCAATAACAATAATTGCAATGAGATTAATTCTACTACAAACTTGACTCAAAATGGAACCTATAGGAAGCTACATTTTTCATTTTCAAATATCGCTCTTGATATTCATCTAGTATTTTGTAAATGTCAAAGATCGGCAGAAAGCATAATCCAAATAAATTCTCATTATTACTACTGCAGTGTTATACTATTGCTGTATAAAGAATGTAGCATGTCTGTCTCTCTCTGACTGTCTGTCTGTCTGTCTGTATGCATGTCTGTGCGTGTGTATGTATGTATGCATATTGTGTCTGGTGTGAGTAACATTTTAATTATTCCCCCATAGTAGTTGGCTTGAAAGAAAGCAGGGGGAAATGTGGTTCTGATGTAAGACCAGTATGTTATCGTTTTCTTTTTAATAATTAATTATAATTTGTCTCACAATTTCCTGAGTCACTTAAGTTTAAGACTCCAGCCAAGTACAAGCGCACAGAAATCATTGTAACTTTGACCTTTAAATCAAATTGAACTTCACGTACCAAATGTTGAAATTGTCTAATTCAAAACACATTTTCGAATGTGTTTCAGCCATTTGTCACACTGACTGAACATTGGCTAAAAAATCGTGCTACATTTACATTAAAATGCCGTGCGCATAACAATACGTTTGCAATTAATTGATTAATGAATACCTATATAAGATAAGGATTATTTATCCTATTTCAATTATTTGAGAAAACAAATCAGCCAGTAATGTATATTAAAATAATTTAAAATTCATATAAACCAGGCATTAGTAAGTACGTGCACTGCCAATCTGGAAAGATTGTTTATATTTTACATAACACATGCTATATCATTAATATTAAAATACTACTTCATACATATATTTCCCATTGTGTAATACTGAAAATGCCCTGTATACGTTATTCCAAACTACAACAAGCTTAAATATACAGGAATATATACTTAATTATACAGTACTAGCATATACTTGTATATACAACAAGCCATATCGCACATGTCATAGAAAAGACATTTTTCCAATTTTGAGTAACTAAGGCTATTACAGCAACATATTGATTAATCCGACTTTTAGTGAATACAACCCGTTTTACCTACCTTGGGTGACGTTACGCATTTGTTAATTTGTTCTTGATGACTTAATTACTGAGTTTACTGGACCTTATCTTTAAAAGCTGGATTGGGTATATGTAATTCTATACGCCTGTCTCAGGATCAAGGTAACCTATGTTAAAAATCCGCCAGGACCATTGTAGTCTAAGCGATTTGAGAAGGTCAACAGTAATTAGCAGTGCCCGGAGACCTTGTGTGGCAGGGTTTCCTTTATCCACCAAAAGATTGGAGCAAAGAATGCTGGGACATAGTTTTATTACCTCTGCCCGACGACAAGTTAAAAGCTTTTAGCACCACACAACAATGAGCCGATAAAGATATACTGCAACCTCCAGGTTCACCAAAGTAAAATAATGCCCGACGGCACGCAAAACGATATGAAAACTCCGTACAGGCCGTCCTCGTTCCACTCGTCCACTGCTGCGCCATGTATTTTGAAAGTGCACGTGCAGCATCGGCTAAATGGTAGTAAAACTGCTATTACATGTTTTGCCTTTGGATGGCAGCAAATTCCCGCACATCATTCCAAAATTTTCAGACATTTCCGCCCAGTACCTCCGCCTCCAAATAGACCCCGCACGCGAGCCCCTGGTAATACTTAAACGCAACATTTCTGTCACTGCAGTATTAAATCTATGACTTTATTAGCCGGACGTGCTATATTTTAAAATTATGCAGTGTCCAGACTGCATTGTAAAATTTTAAATGCAGAATGCAAATCGCTTCTTAAAATGGTTGTAGTTGACGTGTAATTTCTATCAACACTTTTGCCATGTTAAATGTTAAAATATTTCAGCTGTGGTTCTCAACAATTATAATATGTAATGTGCTATGAACTTCATTCCACTGTATTCATGTACATATTAGTATCCAGTTCAGTTAATAATAATAATAATAATAATAATAATAATAATAATAATAATAATAATAATAATAATGAAAGTAAGCCCGCATTCTCAGGTACAAACCCGACAATAGTGAGACACACACACACACATTTATTTTTTTACCATCATCATAACTAATGTATTTTTGCGTGAAATATGACAAATTGTTCTGTGTTGTGTCGATTATAATCTTAAACTCTGAAATGCTGTTTTCAGCAATTGTATTCTTGCCTTTCAAAAGAAGCACAAAATACTTTCTTAACATTTACTTTAAATAGTTGCAGATGGAAATGCATATAAATAAAGGATGAATGTATACATTAACAAATAATAACGATAGAAAAATGTTTTTGGTTTTCGAAGGATTTATAAAACAGAATAAATAAAATATAATTGCACAAACGCACCACCATTTTTGTATATATTACTATCACACAAAATTCGTCATACATGAAATTTCATTTAAGCTTCATGTATAATGTAAGCCTAAAGTAAATTTTCTAAGAAAAATATTCAAATCTTCTTTATCCTGCATTAAGATGTTTTTTCCAAATGTGTACTTAAATATTCAAATCCAGACAACATAAAATCACATCGATTGAATAGAACTCATCATTACCTAACGTCAAATTACACAACCCAAAATATTTTATTTACATTTTACATATGTACTCCGATATTATAGATTTATATCATTCTGTCTCATGTAACAAGGCTGCACAAGACGTACTGGCGACGATCATCTTTTGAAGCTCTTTTGCTTATTATTTGCATTGTCCTGTAAGTCACTTTAAAGCGAGTGTCCCCTAAATGCCTATATGTAAACGTATATAACAAAAAACATGAAGGCAGTTTCGAAAGTTCAGTCCGACGTACTTGAAATGTGAAATCTGCCACATTTGAAATTTTAATAAAAAAAGAGTTTGGGGTTGTTGTTATATTTTTATTTACAAACGAATGCCACTCGGTTTGTGTAGTTTTTTTTTTTTTAAACTTCATGTGTTTTCTTAATGATTTATTTTATCAGTTTAATTTGGCGGAAAACTAAATAGAAAAATCGGGATGAGCAGAGGGTATATCAAAATAACTGCGATGTAATATTCAAGTTAGACAAGTAAAAAGAAAAACCTCATTAATAAGCATGCGAAAAAAAGATACATTGTAACAAAACATTATAATGTTTTCCCACACATAGTGGTTGAAGGCGAACAATTTAAATGAACTTTTCTGAATTACGCAGTTCGATTAATCAAATTTCCTTTCTTGTTATGCTTGTATACCGTAGGATACTCCTCAAATTTGAGAGTGTATCTAACAGTCAAATTTAACGCATCTTAAGATAATAGCAAAGTACGTTTAATGCAGCGACTTGAATTACTCTTTGGTTAAAAAAATTATGGCATTATCTTTGTGTTTTCCGAGATGTTCAGTCCACCTGTAACTGATGTTTGGTCCTAGTCTGACATGCCGTTTGAGTTTACAACATACCAAGAATTGATAAATAATAAAAAAGTATTCAATAATTCTACAAAGAACACATTATTGCGTGTATATTATTATTACTGCCATTGCTATCTATAAAATCGTTTTTAAAACAGCTAAATTCTAATTTAAAAAGCTCTGCGCTTGCCGGTTTTAAAAATGTGTTAATTACATTCTTAAGACACCAGATGGCAATGTTGTTCTACTTTATACTGAAACTCCTCAACTTCAATTTTCCTCAAGGTCAAGGTATAGTCTCCATCCCGTTTATTCCTTAAAGCGATCCTGTAATTTACCGACAATGCGTCGAAAAGTTCCATAATAAAGAACATATCTTTTCTGCACAATATTTATAAGGGCGATGATGTTCATTTCTACACCTATAGGCCTATATACGTCTCAAAAAGTAAGGAATAAAACAAGTATAGTTTGCATTTACATTAAAAACAATGTTTGAGCGACAGCTCGCTGTACAAATAAATATATGAGTACAGTTTAAAGTCCATGTCCAGTTTTATTTGGACATAGTTTACCACTTTGGCAGACACAGATAACTGAGCAATTCAGACATTCAGTGATTTGCGCTCAATAGTTCAGCGTTAACATACAGTCAGGCTACACAAATACGACAGAGTAGTTATTTGAAATGGACAATCTGAAAACCTTGTTTTCAGAAGAAGTTTAAAATACTAGCGTGATTACATCAGCATTTTCTAACGCAAGGATTTATAAATCTTGGAAATTAAAAGACACGTTTTTGAACATCGTCTCAAATTACTGAAGTGCGAATTGTTTATTTAAAAAGGGATTACACATAATATATTTTCTAATTTAACTACGTTTGATTGTTTTAATCTTGCTGTGTCCTTTTCACGAATCCCCAAAATTTGTCTTAATATTCTTTTAACAATTACAATGGCAAATGACTTAAATATACATTTGGCAAACGTCTTCTTTTCCTGAGAAGAAACTGGACAGTCGTATAGATGCGATTTCACCGAACAATAACCTATTTCCTTCGAATTGGTCTCGTGAACAGCAATCTGCTCCCTGGTCCATGCTTGTCGTACCGCACGGCCATCTATAGCCTTTCCAGCTTTCGTTTCCGACCAGGAGGCCAGGATCGAAGGCCTACGGATTTTGCGACTTTGGCCAAGTCTCCCATCCACTCACGTCGAGTGGCAAATTCTTTAAAGTTAACAAGTCACAATAAAAGACCTTTCGTAAGAGCTTCCCAGTTATTTTATTATATCCAGGCTAACTGGGGTTCTTAAATTTGTTGATGACTTTCTTTTCTTTTACTCTTCTGTTCTGAAACCAAATAGTAACTTGACGCTCGGTCAGGTTTGTCTGGGCGGAAATCCTTCTCCGCTTGTCCTTTGTAATGAATTTATTAGTGGTATACTCCCGTTCCAGTTCCTTGAGCTGTATCTTGGTGTACGGAACACGCTTCTTTCTTCCTCGTCTAGCAGAACCGCCCTCTCCGGCTTGCGACACTGCGTCTGAACGTAGAAAGGAAAAACATTTCATTCCTAAATATACAAACATGCTTATACACTTGACATATACACATTATACACAATTAGTAGTATTCCTTACGCTGTATTCCTAGCTCATGTTTATTATTATTATTATTATTATTGTTGTTATTATTATTATTATTATTATTATTATTATTATTATTTTAAAATAAAGCGCACCAAACGGCTATCTGACATTTTCATATTTTCTTTCACACCCCCAAGAACCTATGAAATACTGAGACTTTCGCCAACTGCGTCTCTCCTTCACTAACATCAAGGGGTAACTATAGATAAAAAGTCGCAATACAAGATATTTTGTAATCGAATAAATCGAAATCAAGAGGTCGGGTACTTGGTACGAAGGAAAAAAAAAAGTTGAAGTACAGCACTACAAAAAGTAACTGCGTTTTAAAAATTACTCACAGGGTTGCTTTCTATATCTGTTGACAAATATTAAGCACGAACTGGGCGTACCTTGAATTGACGATTTCCACAGATGGTTAGCCTGAGTCTGGTCCTTCGCGCAGTAAACCTGACCGCTCCACCCGTTAGTGATACCCCACGGCTGGTAACTTTCCATGGGCAGGAGTGGATCGTGTCTGGGCTCCGCGGGGCCACTTATGGTCGGCACAACGGGCACGTCCAAGTAGCCTGGCACCGACTGGTAGGGACCAGTGGTGTAACCTTGATAGAAAGCGAACTCCTTTGCTCTGGACGTGAACTCCTCTCCCGAAACGGATGTGTCCATATACTTCTCTCCATATGTGGAAGGTTGCGCGCAGGACTTGATGCCGCCGTGATGTGTCATTCTACACGGGTAGTAGCTGCTGCCGAAATAGCCATAGGGTAAGGAAGCGCTGGACGAGCTCTGTGCCGCGGAGCACGGACTACACTGTTTGACAGGTTCGCCCATGCCAGACACTGGAACCTCACTCGACGTGTAAGCTGAGCTCGCAGCCAGGGATGCCGGATGAGCCATTAAATTCCTGCACTGATTTGCAGCAAAATTGCCTCCAGGATATCCTTCCATGTTCTTGTTCGCTTCCTCTAAAGCGTTGTCGTAGAGGAACATCACCGGGTCAATCCAGCGGGAGTGAAGAAGTAATGACGCTGTCATAGCACGTCCAACATTGAGACGACCAGCTCTTTTTAAAATCCCCAACACTTAAAAAAGAGGCACTAACTCTGGGAGAAGAACCGACAGCGACGCGCCTGTGTATAGCACTGCTCCGCGGCTATTGGCCGGATCGAGGCACGTGATATGCAAAGAAGATATAAACATCTCAATTGCAGATAATCAGGGGTTGGTCCCCCTTGCAAAAATTGAACTTGAGATTTCATCTTGTTTCTTGCTTTCGATCGCAGCTGAATTCAAGTGAAATTTACATAAGTTTAGAAAACCACAAGTGGCCACGTCAAGAGTAATTGCAATTGTGTCGTTTTAGGGGATGTTGGATTCTCAGCGACGAAAGAAGTGGCGAGTAGATTGCAAACCAGATTAAATTATTCACTCTGATTATAACCTTAAACTGTTATATCTCAGTTGAAAAACTGTTTTAACGCAAACCCGAGGAAATCATGGGCTCGTTTAAAATGTTTTATATTTACTTATTTTCATGTGCATAAACAGCATATACAATGCAGCTACTACATTACTACGGTTATTTCTTGATGTGCGGCGTATCACCATATTTACCTAAGTCACAATATTGCAATTCAGGATTTTACTGCAGAATTTTTATTTGTTAAGTGACAAGGTGTATATGTGCTTCATAGATATTTGCCTAATCTATAGGTGGTAAAGTGGTTCAAACCGACCTCATAGCATTATGCTGATAATCCGGTACATTCGCGCTCTAAAATATGTGTATACCTTCTAACGATATTCCATTTATCGCAATACAAGTAAGTAGTATGTATTTGGCCACTTAATTTCATTTTCAAATTACTGTATTTAGTT